ATTGCTGTGTTGTTGTTATTGTTGTTGCTGTGTTGTTGTTGCTGTTGTTATTGTTAATTTCATTTGCTTACAAAAAAATATGCGAAAATAGTGAAAAAAAAACATTCGCTTAAAAATTTGTCATCTTATAGCATTTTCGCATAATTGTATGAAATATTCTCATCCCCAATTCCGCCTCTCTTCTTAATTTCAGTTTTTTTTTTTTAGGTACGAGATAGAAACGAAAAGAATCTTTTTTTATTTTCTATCAAAAGTGATTTATTATTAAAAAAAAAAAAAAAATGATACAAATTCATCACATTAATTCGGCATACAATTATATTTCAACGAAAATTTTTCGGATGTAATTTCGGCTAAATACTATTTGGATTACTTGATTGGGATATTAATGCTATTTTCTAATGTTAACGCTTTTATAACAAAGTAATGGACCTATGCAGTACACTTCTCCCATATATCTTAGAAGGTTATTTTTACCTGTTTTTATCACTTATCTTGACATTCTTGCAATCTTTATCAATTTTTATCGGTCACTTTGTTCAAATTTTATTTAGAATATTACATTTAATCTATATGCAAATGAAAATTCGTTAAATATAGGAGATTGAAATGATTGATGAGTGGTTCGTTTTATGCAGAGTAATATATTTAATCAAAATTTATTTATTTTCATATAATCGCATCTTCATCAATATGGTACTTACCTACTACGATCTTACGCTACAGGCTTACAGATCACCGTATCGTCTTTATCGACCATATCAATTGGATGTTCAACAAACAACCATTCCTAGCAGTTCAACAACAGCTCGTCATCGTACTCCAAATCTTGATATTTTATCAGAAATTAATCGACGATCTAGACGACTCGAACGTATTGTATCTTATCAAAAAATTTTAGCAATTACTCAGGTACTTTCATCAATGTTCTTTCATTGTTGTTTTAGTTGTTAAAAGAAAGAAAATTTTAATTTTAAATTAAATTAAATTTTACCATAAAATTTTTTTGTTTTATTTTATCAAATCTTACATGAATTGTACAAAAAGTAAGAAAAAAAATTTAGAAATTATTTCTTTCTCATAACTTGCTTCAATTAATTCTTACTCACTCAAAAAAGAAAAAGTATTTGAATCCTGTCTTGTATAATATCGTAATTGTTCAATTTTATCTAACTTGTTTTTGCTCAAATTTTTCATGACAGAATGAATAAAGTCATGATTGTTATGATTTTTTTTTTTTGAAAACTTTTGCAGAAGAAAAGTTTTGAAATTAAAAAAAAAATATAAGTTAAAAAAAAATATAAGTTGAAGTTCTTTGAATATTAAATTATTCAAAGAGCAGCCAATTATTTTTTATCAAAGTTTATCCAAAAATAAATGAATTATGAATATTTGTAAAAGTTTGTAACTAACAAAAAATAACGTATACAAAGGATTAAATTTTATTTCTATCTTTTTTAATAACATCAAATGACAAGAACTGAATTTTATTTTATTATTTATTTTTTAAAATTACACTTATCCTTTTAGATGTTATTTTCATTACTTTTGATCATACTGGAAATGACGAAAATTCTATTAATCTGGGAATATTTCAACAATTTAGAACAAAGATTTCTGCTAGTATGCTTCATATCTTTTTCATTTATTTAGTCATAAATAATAGGTTGTATTGAAATATATAAATTACTGGTTTTCTTTTTTTTCTTTTTAAAATTCTAAATATTTACGATTGAGATTTACAATTGTTAATATTTGAGATTTGTAATTCTTAAATTTTTAATTACTTAGTAGAAAATTTAATAGTAGAAGGAAATTTTGTAAAATAACGAAATGCATTTAAATGATATTACGTAAATTTCAGGTATGTGAAATGTTTCAACCACTACTTTTTGCTACAGCTGCATTTATAACACTTTACAGCGTTTTGCGACCAACGAAAAGTACCTCACAAATTGCTATCGCATCAATTGTCGCAATATTAGCACCACTATTCATGTTTCCCACTCAATCGCCATTTGTTCTCAGTAAGTTTTTTTTTCTTTTTTTTAAATTTGAATTCCGTTTTTGTGATGAATGAAATATCACTTAAATGCTATACCTAAATCATATTATCATTATCAATGCTTTTTTGCTTATCTCAATACAACTCAATTGTATGATTAAAAAAAATTTGCATAAATCATATAATTGTAAGATATATATATATATTTTTGGATTCTTATTATAAATTCTAATTTTTATTCGTAATGATAATTAAAGAAAATTGTCCATATAAATGCATTAAAGTATTATATTTCAAACTACAAATTATTTTTTTACCGAATTTTGAAAAATTTCTACCGGTAGATAGGAATAAATAATGGTAGGTTAACTATTTCTATCGGAGAAGAAAATTTTTTTTTTTAAAGTGACCCTTAAAAAACGCTTTAAATTTCAATGTTGTTAATACTTTAAATTGAGTTTTTAATTTTCATTGGATAAAATTAATAAGAAGGAATTGATATATACTTTAAATCCCAACATTGTTATTACTATAGATTTAATTTTAATTTTTTTTTACATTGTACATATCTATATACATAGATTTCGAAAAACGAGGGCAGAAAAAAGGCCATTCAAATATAGGCCATTTTTAAACACCTTTGAAAAAGTTAAAAAAAAAAAGATTCATAATATCTCTGATGGTGGTAATTCAAGTTGAAATATTACCATTAATTGAATATTTCCGGCTACTGCTTAAAATTTCTTCTCATAAAAAATATTTTTTGATTGCGACAATGACATCTCAGTTTTTCCTTCTTAAATTTAAATTTAAAATTTTTTCTAATCTAGCTAAAGAAGAGTTTCATATTGTTTGTTGCTTTACATTGTTGTGAGTAAGGACAAAGGAAAGAAAGTTTGGGAAAATACAAATGTGACAAATCAAATCAAAATTTATTGCAAATTTCGAAAACTTTAATTGATTCCATATATTCAAGCTAATAATATGTTGATAAGTTGAAAATGTTATCAATAATTTAAACATTCTGTTGTCAATAATTTAAAACATTTAAAAAATGAAATTTTGAAAAAAAAAGGACAGAATACTCGAAGATTGCAATATGATTTTGATTGATGAGTTTTTTGTTTTCTGTCTTCATTAGCCTTAGGAATTTCTTTCAAAAAGTCAATTTTCATCAATAACTTCTTTTTCATCTAATAGAAATGAAAAGAATTTTAAAAATAATGTTAAAATAGCATTTCAATCATTTCTTGACCATTATTTTTCTACTATAATCTACGATTTAAACTTCAGTAATTAAGAATTAACCTTCAATTATGAATTAATTAAGCAACAAATCCGTTGAAATTTAATGTCAAACTTTAAATAGAATTAAATGATCCTTAATAGTTATTTTACTATTTAAGAATATCAGAAGATTTAAGTTATTCCAATAAATGTTTTATTTTATGTAAAAAAAA